TATAAATTACGAAGATATCTGCAAAAACATCTGAAATTCTTCCACATGAATACATGCAAACTGTAGCTGAGAAGATAAAGGGATAGTATTACAAAAAAGGAGCAGTTTGATTTTCAGTGACTGGAATTGCAAGATCTGGCAAGATCAGTTGCCAATGTTTTATTTAAATATTTCTCTGAGAACATGGGGAGGGGGTTGGGCTAGGTGGGGCTGGGGGGGGCTGGAAAATCTAGTAATTTATTTGTAGGTCTAAGAATAGGCCTAATATGCTATGAATGTGGGCTTTGATTTGACCATTATCTCAACAGTGAATATGCATGAACTACACACATGCATACAATGTCTCCCATCCAGTGTGTATGGACTATGTGTGTAGAAACTAAGTTGAATGATCTATTGCTATGGTGGCCCATTCTATTAAAAAAAGTAAAGACTACATTCGAGGAGCAAACTATATTAAATACTATCTAAAGAATCCCTTTTTACTACAAATAGCTGAGAGAGGTGAAATGCATGTTTTATGATATTAATGGATAATACAGAGAGAAAGCTGGGGACTCTTAGGTCCCTGTCTACCTAAATCGTACATATATTTGTATGTATCATACATCTGAGCATGAAACTGAGTAAACTCTGGGAGGCAGTGAAGGACAGGAAGGCCTGGCGCAATATGGTTCATGGGGTCACGAAGAGTCGGACACGACTTAACGACTGAACAACAACAACAATCATACATCAACAACGACCCTCCTCATCTCTCTTTGGAAGCAATCAGCTCCATTTCAGTATGGCATGTTGTTCTGCATAAATGAAATATTGAGGTTGGGCTGATCTCAGTCAGTTGGCCACTCCTTTTGTGAATCTGATCAGAGTGACACAACTGATGCTTCTCAGTGGAGTACTGCACCACATACTTTAAGGGGATGTATTAATTGAAATGAAGATCCTCCCTGAAGCTCTGCCTACAAAGAAACAAAATCATGGACACCTTTCACTCCCATTACTTTTTCTAGTTAGGAAACTTTCCCTGGGAACCCAAATAGTGCCTATGACACACACACACACACACACACACACACACACACAGAGACTTCTCTTCAGCACTGGAAGCATTTTAGGCTCTTGCTTTTGACTGGAGAGAAGCAGCGAGCAGAGTTTTGTTTTCTTCAGTCATCTAAGCATCAACTCCCAACTGCCTGCACTAAGCATTTTTCTCTGCTGCTGAGATATTCCCTAGCATGCTTAATAAAAAATTATACATATAAAAAAGAGATATTCCCTAGCATGCTAAGAGAAGCATACCCTCATAACTAAGTTGTTACAAGCAGGCACACACAGAAAGTCCATTCTTATGATAATAGACAGTTATCTACAATAATTAAACATACCTTCTTAATCTGCCTGTTAAATCTGCAACCCCAATTATGGGTTTAGGAATGCTCATAGATAATGTCAACTTACAAACGTGGGGAGTGATGAATACTGTTCTGTTCTTTCATCGTCTTTGTTTTCTGATGCAAAAATTCATCCCTAATACCTAATTTGGACACAAATTTGATTGAAAACAGAGAAACAATTCAGAAACAAAACCTGGAGAAAGCCCTACTTTGATGATTTGAAGTCTTTTTTTTTTCATATAGCTTATTCTATATGAGATACAACTGGTAATGCATGTAAGATAAATGTAATCAAGTGCCTATATGAAAAGTACATCTCAGAGATTCAATTGTACCACAAATATAAGTTAGGTAAAAGGCAAACATTGTTCTACTATTGTTTGATAGTAGCAGTAGACACACAACTAACCAAAAATTGTGAGAGGTAGCTACATGTCTCTCTGTTCTTCACTAATTCGTTCTATTCCACTACTGAATTTCCTTTAACTCTGTGAAGATAGAACATAGATGTTCCTATGTTATTCAGAGCTGATCAGTTTTCTTCTAGACAATGATTCTTTTAAATGGATAAGGATGAATGTGAACAGTATTCACATGTAAAATATAAGAGTGGTTATTAAGGTCACCTACAAGATTCCATAGAAGTAGCATGTGCTGGAAAATTCCTATTTTTCTCTTTCTCTTTTTCCATTTTTGTAAGTAATTAAAAAACTGTGTATGTTTGTGTGCAACATAACATATGAGGCTTTGGTCCTTACTACTTGTCCCAAGTGTCCAAATGTAAAGGCATTAGTTCATCAATTCATATATTTATCATAATTTAATATGATTATTCTAGCTACAAATATTGCTAACTTTTAAAATGGAATTATAAAACCTCCTAGAAAATGAACTGCAAAGAAAGAACAGAGTTATTCCTAAAACTTTTGGATTTGGTGGGAGGGGAGGAGATTTTCCTTTTAATAAAAATATGAACAGAAGAATAATTATTAGAATTAATCTTAATGTTTAGGGAACTGAGAATGAAAGCATATGAATAGACAACTTTAGTGATGACTTGTCGTTTGAAGGGAGTTGTTTTTTTGAAGTTGTGGCAAAAAGCATAGCAAGTGTTAGTGTCCTAGAGAGTCAGGTGGCTGTTTCACAAGTTTGGACAAGTATCCCATTTATTTCAAGCAGAGATCAGTAGAACATTCCCATAACCTTTACACTGATGCCCTTCTTATTCTGTTTAGATGTTCTGAGTTCTTTGGATTCCCACCCTTCAAAAATTCTATTTCACATCATGTGTGGGTGGATTTGTTTATATTTCCTCCACTATAGAATTCAGTAAGAAAAACACCCTGTACTTTAGGGCAGCATGACTGCAGCTTTCATCTAAGTTTGTTCTTTTCTTTTTCTTTTTCTGGCTGATATGCATGTTGTTTTCTACAGGAGAGCATGAAGGATTAGAGAATAACATCAAGCTGAGATGCAATTAGAAATTAAATACTCAACATTAAACACTGATTGCAGTGCTGTTTTGCCTACAAGCAAGCAATTTTGAAACCTTAATAGTTCAGACAGATCAAATTAAAAGAGCTAGGAGGCCTTACTCTAAGTCCCAGTACCCAGGGCTGAATGACATCATAGAGGTCCTGCTATCAATTCTGAAAACTACATAATTTGACATCATCATTAATTATGTATCTTACCTCTATTTCATATCACCCCCTGCAATCATTCTTTCTACTCACACCATCCATTTATTGATTTGTTCTAGATACTCATTCTACACCTGTTATGTTCATACATGTTTTTGTGCACATATTTTTTTGTTATAATTTATTTCTTAAAACATTTAAAGGAACAGAACTGTATATATATAGAAGCTGGAAAGAGACATAGTGGATAAAAGATAAAGTATCAGTACATAAACAATTTACAATTATCATAAAACATTCATTACTTTATTAATTAATTACTGAAATATAGAGAGTTAAGTTCATTATGTCACCTTAAGAAATAACTAGGAATCTCTATAAAATTCTCAACATGGTATCAAGATTGATATTACCAGTGTTTGCTATTGTTCCAGGGACAGATGTACATAATCACGTAAAGAGAAAAGAAGAGGGAAAAAAAAGAAAAAGGGGAAAAAATTAAAAAGCATAAAAATTTTAAAAATTAAAAAAGAGAGAAATCAGTAAAAACAAAACAATAATTGGGAAGCGACATAGTTTTAAATTAAATATTTAAATATTACCAGTGTTTGCTATTGTTCCAGGGACAGATGTACATAATCACGTAAAGAGAAAAGAAGAGGGAAAAAAAAAGAAAAAGGGGAAAAAATTAAAAAGCATAAAAATTTTAAAAATTAAAAAAGAGAGAAATCAGTAAAAACAAAACAATAATTGGGAAGCGACATAGTTTTAAGTTCCCTCCCATTGTACCCAAGTGATAATTGAACCAACATATTTATAAAAAGCGTAGTTGTTTCTAATGATTGTCCTTAGTTTAATTTTCCCCCCTTAAGAACCGTTCTGTGAGTGTCTGAGTTTGCCTTGTTGTGTGACATATGATATATAGGGCAGCAATTCTTGCTTAAATTTAGTCAAACTTGTTTTGAATATATGTTGTTAATTTTAGCATTGCTGCATATTTCACAAGTTTGGTTTTCGAGTCTGATATGGTCAGCAAAGTGTTTCTTTTCCATTTTGAGACAATTTTGTCCTCATGGCTGCCGGCTTATGTCTTAATAAAGAGCGATATTTTTATTTATTTGTTCTCGAACAAGTCCTAGTAGAAAAAAACTGAGGTTTCAATTCAAACACGGGTTTTTTTTTATTTTTTTAAAAAATAATGGGGTGTATTGCTTTCCAGTATATATTTTTTAGTTTTTTAACATGACTAACACATATGATAAGCATGGGAAGGGAAAACTTATACTTCATTTGAACACGTTCGAGTGAGTTGATCAAGGACCACTCTTTTATTTAGCCACTTTGACAACTAAATAATTAGAGCAAAACTAATTTTTTAGTTTTAAAAACTAAAACAACAACAACAAAAAGGTCTGAATGAAAAGCAAGAATGCACAGTGCTTCCACATGTCACTTTTTTTTTCTCTCTTGAGGCAATTCTGTCTCTGTCCCTGTATTATTTCAAAGCATTTCTAAGATTCTGCCTTACATCAGATTAGATTCTTGGTCACTTATTTGGTTATCTGAATTAGCCATAGTTCTCTAGGATCCAAAGCAAACATCTTTGATATCACCTGCTATCTGATCCTTTTAACTGGATAAATTAGGCTGAAACCTTCAGCATGCAACTCTGTCTTAGAGTTATGGTTGTATCCAATGCTTGGACTACCAACCCTGGCCGTCCCCCTCCAAATGTGGGAAATCTGGGAGTTGTAGTCCAAAATACATGAAAGGTACCAGATCAGGGATGATTGATTTAATATATAAAACTAGGATGTATGTGCAATTTTTATTTTGGCTTCTTCATTACACTAAGCATTTTGAAAAATTATAATTGAAAATAAGTAATGCATGACCTGATATTTTAACTAGAATCTGATATGGTTCAAATACAGCTAATATTTGCTTATTGTATTGACAGGTTGAACCACTCATTCAGAAAGGTCATGAGAATGTAGTGCATCATATTCTTCTCTATCAGTGTAGCAGCAGTCTGAATGATAGTGTTCTGGATTATGGCCATGAGTGCTATCACCCGAACATGCCAGATTCATTTCTCACCTGTCAAACAGTCATTTTTGCTTGGGCTATTGGAGGAGAGGTAAGACAAATACTTATTGAAATGTCTTTATCGAATAATGTAAAGACTCCTTCGAGTCATGCTAGGAGTTTAGGGGCTGTATAAATGCAGTTTTCTTGGCAGAATTTTTTAGCAGGGTTTTGCCATTATCTTCTTCCAGGTATCTTTTTTGAGTTCCTAGTTTAGCCAAGAGTTTTGAACTTCTTAAGTGGTTTCCCCATCCAAGTACTAACTAGAGTCACCTCTGGTTAGCTTCTAAAATCAGCCAAAATTGGCTCAATGCTGCATACATTCTATACAGTAAATACTTTTAAAGTTTTTTTTCCCCATTAACTGAGTGATTACAGAACTATTATATTTTTATTTTCATTGGGGACCAAACCTGAGGTGATAATTTCAATTGTTGAGGAATTTCATCACAGCACTGCCTGTACTAAACAACTGAAATCTAAAGTCCAGCTTCTGTGTGGCAAAAAGATTTAAGACTTTCTATGTTAGATTAAGCAAATTGTACACAGTACAGATTAAGAAATGTATATGAAGAATTTTTTTATACTGTGTGATTAGAAACTTGTGTAAACAAATGCAGGTTTTGAAATTAAGACTCAAGTTCTTATAATAATACACCTAGCAATCCATTTAAATATAAATCATGTTCAGATTACATATAATATAGCTTAAGTTTTTTCAAGTTTCATAAATCTACTGTTGAGAACACAAGTAACCAGTTAGGGATTGTGTTAATGATAAGTGACCTAGAAATATTTCAAATAAAATAAAAAATAAATAAATAAAAGCCATCTAGTGCCATTCCACTAATAAAGTGCCACTTTATTATTTTAAAATTGATGTTTGTACCTTTTTACTTTACTGCATCAGTGTACCATAATGATCATTTAGGCTGGATGTGTTGATATAGTAACTGAATAATGTTAATAAATATTTAGTACACTTGGCAGATCCTCGGTTTTTCTTGGCCCTGTGTTTACTCTTTCAGTATTCAGTCTTGATACACGGAAGTGTTTCTTACTTTTCATCTTTGCTAGCAACAAGTCTACAGTGGAACATCCTTAAGAAGAATAGTAATGCTCTTTTCTTTTCTTTTTTCTATTTACTTTTTCTGTTTATTCACTGGTTCTGTATTTTTCTGTATTCTTTTTCTTTTCTTCAAATCTGTTTGTTTGTTTGTTTTTATTACTGTATAAAATCCTTTAATAAAAATAATTTTTTAAAAAAGAAGAACAGTAATGAATTATTACCACTCATCTCATTTTCTCTTCTGTTCAATGATGGAGGAGAGTGTCCATACAATACAGAAATGCAAGCATATAAAATATAAATAAATCTACCAAACTGGAGCTAAATAGGTGCATAGGGCAAAAAACTAAAGGCACATATGTGCTTGCAGCTAACAGCAGTCTTCTGATATGGGTCAGTTGTAGGGGCTTTGTTTTCTTTGTAGAATTATATCAGTAAAACTATAAATATATAGTTAAAATGAGATTTAAGTATTTATACTGTTGAACCTGGTTACTTATGTTGATATGTTTCCATTCTCAGGGCTTTACTTATCCACCTCATGTTGGCTTATCCATTGGAACAGCATTAGACCCTCAATATGTGCTTATGGAAGTCCATTATGATAACCCTTCATATGTGGAAGGTATGTTTCTTCACCTATTAAAATGATAAAATGTGTTGAATGTGTATGTTCCTGACCTTACTCATCTAAAGTAAGTGAAATGAATTAATAGATGAAATTTCTGTTCGGTGAAGGAGGCTGATGAAAACAAATCTGCACTTCTACTATTCTTCATCCATATTTGTAGAGTGAGAGAATTGTATGGACTGAACCAAAAGTATCGCCCAAATTCCCGTATGCAGCTACAGTGATTCCTGTGAAAATGTCAGATATTTAATTTAATTGCTTTTTTTTTTTTTTAGGGATGATCGATAATTCCGGACTGAGGCTATTTTATACTCCAGATTTAAGGCGATACGACGCTGGAGTTATTGAAGCGGGGCTTTGGGTCAGCCTCTTCCACAACATCCCACCAGGCATGCCTGAATTCATGTCGGAGGGTCATTGCACTCTGGAATGTCTGGAAGAAGTATGTTTCCTGCCCAGTGCGACTGATTGTGATTCTGTGCCTTTTATTGGAAACAGGCAGTTTAAGCATCTTTGTTTGTAGGAAATGGTATCTATTATTTCAGTAGTCCTGGATCAACAAGGGGAATTTGGACAGCAATAATGCCATCAAATGAAAATCCCAATCTGGTTTTGAAAATAGTGAGTAAGAACAGGCAACTTATGTCTGAGGATGCCATTTAGTTTCTTTGGTTTGTCAGTAAGGATGGACAAAGGATCATCAATATATTAGGTCCAATCTCTGCATTAGTCAGCAATTTAAAAATAAAAAACTTTAACGTTTGCTTTTTCACAATACTTTTCCCTGTGCATACATTTTTTGCTCACAGTCTCCCCTAATCCATGCATGTGTGTATGCATTGTTAAGCTAAAAATCTGAGAAAATTCAGTCCCCTGAGGAGAAATTAGGTCTGTTTATCCAAAGATGCTTATAAATAAAACCGGTGCCCTTATTTTATTGTCAATGAACCCATTATAAATAGCTTCAAAAATCTTTCCTAAGCTTAATGCAAATGAAGATTAATATTTATATATTTGTAAAATGCCCTAAGCATTGTTATGATATTTTCATTGTTTAAATCAAAGTGTATTATTGTGTATTTATCCAACCTTTCCTTTTTGTGGGCAGTCTTTACTTAGGAAAGGAGAAGCTTCTCTGCTGAATGTCTCTAAAGGGGCATAACTCAGATGATCAGTGCAAGGGACTACTGTGGTTCACTTCATGTGTATGTGTGTGTGTGTGTGTGTGTGTGTGTGTGTGAATGTGTGCATGTGTTCTTTTGCTTAAAAGTGCTTGCTGATTCATTTTGTGCTGGGGGGAGAGGTTCCATCTGAGATAAATAGCCCGTCTGAGAACAATGAGTAGACAATATCATTTTGAAAAATGAAAACCAAAGGGACCCATTTTTCATGTGGGATATTCGTATGCAGACTGGTTAGAGATTATAGGAGCTAGAGTCCAATGCCATCTTCCCCACATGTGTTTTAAAGGAATAGCAAGTAGGAGAAAATGAAAAGTTATAGACTGTGGAATTGATTTATCAAATAGACCTCATAAGTGGATTTAGGACAGGGTTTGTTTATTTCCTCCAGCCCTAAAATCTGATATTTTGCAGTACAGGTAGTCCTCACTTAACAACCACAATAGGGACCGGAAAATTGGATGCTAAGCAAGGTGGCTGTTAAGTGAGTCACCACGTGACTGGACCTGATTTTACGACCATTTTTATGATGGTTGTTAAATGAGTCACCACCTTCATTAAACGAATCACCACA